TATAGTGAGAGGACAGGCATATTAGCAATATATAAGCACCAACGGAATGCTGGCGAACTTTGAACACACTCTACATTCCTTTCGATCGTTATTTTGCTTAGAATCGTCGCTCGTTTCTACATACCTGCCATGGAACAGAGGTTTGGGCCTGAAATATAGCGAAGTTTAACATCGTTCAGTGGTAAAGGAAAAATGCTGTAACTAAAGCAATTACACTTTCACAATATTAATAAAGCTACATACTACCCGGTACAACCGAAATAACAAAAGTAATTACTGTTATTTTCCGGCGACGAGACAAAATTCACGCGCGTTTTCCCATAGGAATACACAGGAAGACTGGAAAAGTAGACTGCATGCTGTCTGCTTCAATTTGCAACCGGAAGTCCCATAGACACTAGCGCCAGCTGAGCCTCTAGCGTTTATTGTAATAACTCTATGGGTACAACAGACTACACCAATCTTAACGAAAAGTACATGACAGTCTAAAGACACGCTGCAAACTATGTCCCGATCATCAGGACGTTTCACACAGGTCATTGCGATACACTTAGAGGAGACATTTCAAAACGCCATTCAGTAGGCCATTCAGTATTCATTCACCATAGCCGGGGAAGCAATCGAGATAGTAAAGTCAATCAAGATATTAGGTGTAATCTTCTCAGATAATGTATCATGAAATGAGCACATACAATACATATATAAGAAACACAGAACAGCTCTTAGTACTCTGTCCCGATACAGTACAGTTTTCACCCCATTTGTCAAATTAATAATTTTTCACGGCCTCGTGCAGTCATTATTTTAATATTGCCATCTGGAATGGGGTACCCCAATTGCGGTTAAAAATATAAATAAGCTTCTAGCTCTGCCAAAGAAAGCTCTAAGAGTGGTTTCAAACGTGTCTTGTCTTTTGCATACAGATGCTTTTTTTGCCCGATTTAACATTGTCAGGATAAGATACCTACATTACTACCGCCTTTTAGTATCGTATAAAATATCACAGAAAATAAACATAGTTGTTTTCTAGAAAAAGAAAATTTAAACCAAAATACTAGCATTTATAACCCACGGCGAAGTGAGGAGTAGAGTGTGTCCACCCCCCGGACAAACTATGGTCTGACATCGATTACATACATACTTCTATCTTCTTTTAACAAGGTGAAGGTTAAAACTGATCTTAGCCATAGCCTAGCATTTGAAGCTTTAATAATAATACTGTCGGCCTAGTGAACTTCAGGCTTCATGTCTTATGTGTACTGTGTCAACTGATGCAATATGTTACGTTGGAGTCTTGTGATTGTTTTCTTTTTGTGTCCTTCTGAACTGGAAGCATGTTTTTAGTTTAGCTTTGACTATCTGAACAAAGCCCTGTACGCGCGCTTCTGTGTTGGAGTTGGGGCCTTGTCAAGCTGCACAATTTGCAGCTTTTTGCCCCAGCTACTATCTTGCCTGGTGAAAAAAAATTAGTAAATTGATTGAAAAGGAAGATTTATGGAATAAAATTGGCGCGAGTGGTGCGTACACACGTTGTTCTCGTTTTCTCGTTGTTTTATTATTGCCTCATATCGCCGAGACAATGTGGGGCATTATCTCGGCACTGCAGGTTGGGGTTAACTGCAAGAAGAGGTCTGTGAGAGCAATTTTTGTGAACACCGCTCGAGCCAGGGGTAGCAATTGCTCTGGCTCTGATATGCGCGAGAGACCGAAGCCCCGCGAATGCGGCGGGTGGCAACAAATCTAAACGGCGCAGCCTTTTTCTGACTGATTATTTCGGCAGGCGGCAAGAGAGTCTTCCGCAAGTGTGAACGAGACTGAAGATACTCATTTAGGTGATGACACCGCTCCGCTCACCGCGTGTGAAACGCGGGCAGCTTTCGGAACTAGCTTCCAACCGCGATTTTACCGTCGTGAAGGGCGCGCCAACAAAGAAGCCACAAAAACACAAACTCAAGGCAGCGCACACTTTGGTGGAACGTCCACCGAAATGTGCGCTGTTATTTCAGCATGGGGATAGAACAGCACCATAAAGAAATCGGCTCAAGTAAATAAAAAAAATGCACAATGAAATGCTGGGCAATGGTATTGCGCCTGAAACATCTAGCGTGTACGCTTTCTGCGATCTTCACCGATTAGTTTAGCGACAGACTTAAGCCGTGGCATGCACACTCAGTAGCAATTTCTGGAATGGAGACACCGGTGCTAACCCGGGATTTAAAAATGTGTCATCTGGTGTCAAGTTGCTATCTGCCGGACGCAGAGCGTATGCCCTGCAGGGCTTTCCCGCCAAATAGCACCTCAACTCAAAGCAACATGTTGTGACATGTTCTGCGATGTCCTCCAACGAACTCTTAAAAAGGACAGATTTTAGAGACCATAATATTCGTTTTCTACACGTTCCCACCGACAGACATCCCTTATCATTTGTTCATGTTGATAGTCCACCATAGCCTATGGAAATGCCGGATGATTGACAGGAATGCCGACACACCACGCACCTTGCATTTTTCTAGAAGAAATTGCTAAAGAAAGTGTTCATCAACCACTGCCTGGATGGTTTCCGCGTTTTGATGCGTGCCTACGACTTTCAGACTTTTAATATATGTAAATGTGGTCCACTATTTCGTTTCAGGTAGAGAATACTCTTGGGTTTTCGCCTAAATTCTATTACTTTGTGTATAGCCATATATTTAGCTTATCACCTTGTAACCTGGAGTTTGAGCGAAGTCTTCCATGTATGAGGGCAAAATAGCATGACAAAAAGTATGTGCCGTGACACACAAGAAAGATACTCACTTAATAAACTAAATGGCCTGAGTTCGATACCCGCCTGGCGCAAACAAATTTTTAATGCGATGTCCTCTTCGACCCTCCCCACCTCCCCCGCCCCCGCTGAAAGGGTAGGAGGTGTTCGAAGTAGGAGACGTGACGCCATCACCTCACTTAGCCAATAAACATTGAGATAATCGGCGGCTTCACAAAATTATAGAACCCTCCCCCCCACCCCCCTCCAAAAGAAGAGGAAAGAACGTTCTACGTTAGAAGCGGCAAAGTTGTGCTCATATTAGGTCCAAAGGTCGGTAAATTGAACATCAGCAGGAATAGGCGAACGCGACGAGAGCAGAACCTGCGCATCGGACCAATAGACCGATCTCACCAGCTACTTTGAGTACGCCACCGCTGCCGATATGCATCGTGGGAGCTGTAGTCTTTCTGCACGCGCGACAACCCTGCTGGAGGTCTGCGCGAGCAGACCACGAGGCACCATGAGCTATCTCGTGAGCTGGCGTCTGCCTCATATGAACTACAGTTATGGCGGCGTCACGCATGTGTGGAACGCTTGGTGAGATCGGACCAATTAGGCCCGAGTACGGCGTGCTTGGCACTTCGCACGGACGCTGAGAGATGGCGCTGAAATAAGGGAGCCTTAGAGCCAGATAAACGAGGTGTTATCGCTTAATGTGTGTCTTACTCCGTACAGCCAACTGATCCAATCCACCACGAATAACGCGTCTCGACGTTGTATGTTTTGCCTGTGCCTCCCTTGTTCCCGTTTTCTGAGGCGCCTTTAACTTGATGAACATAAACGAACGAGTCCACTTAGCCATTTTAGCGTGTAACGTTTTTTGGCATGCTGGACATTTCGTGAATGCTCGATGAAGGCGAAGCCTCGTAGAAACGTGGTTTTTGTTTAGTGTGCCTGTGTGTGTGTGTGTGTGTGGGGGGGGGGTTATCGCAGTAAAAAAGCGTTTGCATCCGGCGGGGATTGACACCAGTCTATACAGATTATTAAGCTAGTGTCTTTTCAGCATGTCACTACACTTTTTGTTTTATTTATTGCGCGTGTCGCGACACATCGCCGTGAGTTGGGTTGGCGGGAAAACCCCACGGGGTGTCCTCACTGCGTCCGGCAGGTTTCTGCCGGACACAGTGCGGATGCCAAAGTATCGTATGTTTTAACGTGAAATGTTCTTTGAGTAGTTGTTGGGGAATGTCGTCAAGTCCAGTTATTCGCCAGTGCGGCTCGACACTCATTATAATTGTTATCGGCTGGGAGAGGAGTGAGCTGATGGGCGCTGATTGATTAAGTGGGAGGTCCTGAGACCAAAGGCGGGGAGGAGTGAGGTAGGCGTAAAACAGCTTACCACCTGGAAGGCTCTGGAATATCGCTCGATTTATCAGCCGGATTAGCGCTAGCATCGCTTCATTCCAGGAACAACTCTCAAGTGCGCACATGCCATGCGTTAAATTACCCGATGAAGAGCGCCGCGAACGCAGGCGGAGCGCCTGCAAACTCAGAGTATCACGAAACGTTTGTGAGGGTAGAACGCTTCACTTATGCAACACAATTGCCTAGCAATTGGCCATGCGAATTGTTTCAGCCCGTGCATTTACGTTGGTGTGGCAATAACATTTCGTCTATTTCCGGACTTACAATGAAAAGGGACATAGTATTAGTTCATCTCTTCGGTGTATGTTTGGATCGACCTTTAATCGTGACAGTATGAATCACGCGTTATTCCTGTTGTATCAAACGCAGTTTACCTGAATACAGCGACCTTACTTCGATAGCACGTTCAAGTGTTTACTCTGTTGTTTTGTTATCAGAATGCATGTGATTGGACATCTCTAGATACTCAGTTTCGCCGAAATAAATGTGGTTTAATATTGCCGCCCGTGAGCGCGATGGGACTGTCGTATACTTGGTTGCCTGATACGCTGTCAAAGGTGGGATCATCGTTACCGGGAACTGTACACGTTCATTTGCACCAACTCGGCAGCCTTAGCGGCTGCCAGACGGTAAGGCTGCCGACTTTCGCTATGTCCTTGCTGGCTTCCGGCCAAAAAAAAAAAAAAATGAATTCCTTTGTTTTTGCTCCGCAGTGAACGATTGATGGCCTTCGTAAGCTGCCGAGCAAGGTACAGAATCAACCGCCTCTGCTGTCAGCGCAGTCAGGCGAATCTTGAATCCCATCGCTCGACCGGGAACTCTGCCTCACCTGGCGTGTCGAACTCTGCGAGCACTCGGATTCCTCGCTTCCTGGCCTCTTCGAGGACACGGGCCACGTCGGACGGACTGTACGTGTGGGTCTCGGCGTTGTACGCCCCCTGCACGTCGAATGTCGGCGGATTTCATTTGAAGATTCAATCGATAAATTACATTTTCAAAACTTTCTCGACCGACAACCGGTTTTTTCAGCGAGAACTACTTCCTCCTCCATAGCGCCGAATGCTAGCCAGAAACTATATGTAGCCTAAATCTACCAATATAAAACGCGGAGGTTTATGAATATTTATGTCATGAACAATCATGTTTCTCTGTTTCCTAGCTCCATCTTACAAATTGCGACGAGCGCTATCAAAGGAACAAGTTCGAGAGCGTGGCTTATCTGTACTAGGCTTGGTTTCCAGAAGACCTGGAGCAGAAAACAAAAGACTGGTATAACTCCGCGCTCGCGCTTGTGGTATACAGGACGCTGGTAAAAGTTCCTAACATGAACTGTAATCGGGCATTAATATCTCGAACGTAAATCTGATTCCCCCGAATTTACTATTTTCCCATTAAAAGAGGAATAAGTCCAGTGAATATGATTCACAAAAAGGCTACCGTATTTTCGGGCTCCCGTCTGCACCAGGTGAACAGTCCGCAGGTGAAAATTTGGGGTCAAGTATAAGATTTTGCTCAGATAGTCCCGGTTCATAGTCCGCACATCGTGCTTAGTGGACCTGAAAGTCTTCTCATCCACAGAACAGCTCGATACATATCCGCTTTCTTAGTTCTCAAAAAAGAATTGTGTCAGACATGAACCATCATTAACATACTTTCACATTCACAACATTCTTAACGTCCTTTCGTAACGGAAGATCGTGAAAATTCCCGTATATTCCGCCCCGGCAGATAGACCGCGCAAAATTATTACACCTTTCCGACATGGATAGTCCGCGAACTAAGCTCCGGAGAGGAAGGGACAATTTTTTCCCAACCGTGAAGGCATGCTTCTTTTTTTATATTTCACTCGCTACTCCGCAAAACAAATACAACATATTCATAATGTAGGCAACACTGTTTTTTGTTCCTCTAAGGCCTCCGATAATCGCGATAGATAATAAAAAAAAGTGAGCAAAGTTCCTTTCCTGATCTCGCCGTCATACACAATTTTTGGATCGGGTACCGGCGGTATGCTACTTGTGTTCTTTATAGGTAGAAATTCCTCTTTTTGTAAATACCCGATAATTAAATCCCGAGTCGCTTTTATCAAGAACGCAAAAAAAAAAAAAAAAACGAAAAACCACTGACTAGAGCTGCCGTCGGATAAAACAGGAAAAAAACCAAAAGCGTCACTCTAAAACAAAACATTTTTTTATTTATTTACAGTTTCATTTTGCGTTTACCTAGGTCAGAAGCCCGACTGAGATGTCCGCGAAGCTATCCCCTTTTTTAAACCCCCCCCCCCCCCCCCCCCCCTAGTAGCCTTTGCTCATCTGTACCGTGTCGTTTTTCGATTATTCGGGTCTCGCGCATGTCCCTGGTAGTTGAAGAATTCTATTTTCTTCACCATAATTCCCGCTATACGCCGGTCCTTTGTCTGCCACACAACATTGACCGTGGACAAGCACTCGTCAGTTTTTCCAGTTTTTCTCTTTGAAACCAAGGGATGTCATCCAAGTTATTATTGCTACGGAAAGAGCTCATTTAGTTCTATAATGTAAGCGATAAAATTTCGTGCTCGCTAATATTATTTAGAAGTAAAATGCGAAAATGCGCCGATGTCGTGTTCGCGCTAACAGTGTCGCGATGTGTACTTTGTGGGATGAACTAAACCTCAAAGAGACATCTCCGAATGCGACGAAAAATAAACACCGAAAACACGGAACGTGATCATGGACAAGCCCTGGTAGGTGGTAACGTAGAGTCGAAGTGATGCACCCCCCAAAAAATGTTAGTTCCCGAGGATCTTGGCTGCCGCAGTGACTGGACAAGAGCACCAACCCAATGTTCGCCGAGTATTGACTGGACCCCAACCGAAGCCAATTCTGACGCATTTCTCTACCGATTCATAAGCCGCTTTTGACGAACGTCTCGAGGAAATCCTCGGACTACGTAAATGCCTTAATCAATATCAGGATTACCACAGCTCAGAAAGCTTTGTAAGAGTTAATATGGCTTATTGCATGTATGACAAATGTTCTATAACGCTACGTTCATGCCACCCTTAACTTACCTTCTTGCTCAGATCTGGATACAACTCGCTGACGAATGGAAACGACGGGTCGTCCACAATGTGCCAATGCAGCACGTTCATTTTGTTGTACGCCATCGCGTCCTGCACGGAAGCATGAGCAAAATGGCCACTGAACAGTAGCGTCTTTCAAAAACGTCTACACTGCTACAGACTCTTAGATATGACCTTTTCTGGTTTCCACATACTTCGTCTACCAAGACTCGGAATATAATGTTATTTTCAAACGCTTTCGAATATTTATTTCTAAGGAAATTTTCAGAGAGGTACAACGACAAATTCGTCAAGAAAATTTTTTAAAGGGGCCGCTTCTTACTACTTAAAACGAGCCGAAAGAATCGGAGCCTCCTTATAAAATAGTCTGACTATCACCGAACGAGCATTGAGGGGGTGGGTTTTAAAGTTGTGAAATTTTAGGGCGCCATTTTTTATGTAAAATATGAGACGAACAACCTTGCCACAGTCAAGGGCGGTTGTGTTAGCAGACGACCGAGTCGAATGTAGCTTGGGGCGCCATTTTCCGATAGGCCTTGTACAAAAGAGCACAGTGTGTCGTCTACTCGCTGCGTCTTTTGCAATATGGCGCAAGAATTTCCATTCATCGCTAACTCGGTCATATGCGACCATGTCCGACATTAAGTTTCTCAAGTCTGTTAGTCTCATTTTTTACAAGCGCAAAACTACGCCTTGATACTTTTCCAGGTAAACCCTACCAGCTCAATGCAGGTTTGGTGAAAGTTGGAACTTTCTTTGTGCGACAGACAATCTTTCCGGCTTGTTTTAATGCTCAACTGCGTAGAGCAAATATTCGGCGAAGGACCCACGAACTTGGCCCGGTGGCACGTTCGCTTTGAGTGCGGCGCCACCGTCACTCTTCTGACGCCATGCGCAGAGCCAACGCCGCCGGGTCAAATTCGCAGATTTTTTTTCGCTCCCTGGTGCCCAGCCCTTGTAGCGTAAGATCTACTGAGGCTACCTTATAAAATGAATTAATGATTCCGACGTACACGACGCAATGCTAATCTATTTTAATGTTGTCAGGTGTACACAACGGTACATGGAAGTCAGAAAAAAAAAACTTTTAGCTTTTCCACTCTGGTGAAGAAGGGAGACCAGCGAAGCTATACTATGGTGGGAATGAAGTAATGGCCGGCCGCAACTCGGCAAGCCAGAGTGGAAAGGCTCGAAAGGTTGCCGCCATCTATGAGCGACGGCGGCAACAGAACAACCGGCAAGCCAGTTGTCTGATTACCACCGTCGTTCATAGATGTCGGTAGCTGTCCAGAGTTTTGTTTCGACATTTGTTTGCCCGCGGACACGATACTGGGGAAACTAGCCCTTGACAGCTCCGCTGTAAAAGAGCAGGGTTGAAGACAACACTGGGGGAGCATGAGATGGAAGGCTGCCTGTGCACAGGGTTGCGTGTCAGCATTCAGCTGGGACTCGTATATAATAATAATAATAATAATAATAATAATAATAGTGTTTATTTCCACCATAAGATGATGGTGGCGATCAGAAAAAAAGCTGTGAGGTACAGCTTGACAGGTTCCTGACCGCCTACAGCAGCAGCGACAGAGTGGAAAAATAATACAGTAATCAAAAGAGAAACAGAAATGTACAGAAAATGATCGCCATCACAACGTGTTAAGCATAATACCTTAGATTATCACAATGTTGACATAGAGGGCATGACGGGCAAACAAAAACAAAAACAAGCTCATAGTATTAAGAACAAAACACGGAGTAAGGAGAGCAACTACATCAGTGAAAAAAGGGTGACCTCACTTCACTCAACGGTAATTTGTCCCAATCAATACCTTTAGCTAAAAACAGATGAAATAATTTGGGAACAACGTATTTCAGCGTTTGTGTGCCATAGTTTGTTTTCGGTGTGACCACCTCCCAACATTGAGCTCCGCGGGTAACTATGAATGTGTTTCGAGATTTGTGCAAGATTTGTAAAAAAAATTCGGATTTCTAATTTGCTCAACTTTTAGGCTAGTGGCAAGCCTGTAATCATATTATGTGTGGACATTTACGACTTGAAATTTTCTGAATAAGCTAGCTGTATGAAAGTCAAACGGGACATCTCCTCAAGCTCTAAGTGCTTTCTTTTGCAACACATGCAGCTTTTCTAGATTAGGAAAAGTCGTTGTACCCCAAACTAAGTGGCAGTAATTTAAGTGGGAGTGGAGAGAGAATTATATAATAATAGTTTTACTTTTTCTGGCAAAATATAACGATGACGATTTAACATGCCCACAGCCCGGGATAGCTTTGGGATAAGGTAGTTTATATGAATTTCCCACGACAATATTCTCAGAGAAAGTAACATCTAAGAGCTTAAAGAAGTTTACCATTTTAATGTTGCTAGAATATAAATTTATGTGTTTTGTAATGTTTACAAGTTTATTTTTCGGGCGAAAAAGCACGGCTTTTGTTTTCTTCACATTTATTTGCAACGCGTTGTTCTCACTCCATGTTTCTAATCTAGACAGAGTCAAGTTTGCCATATCAATTAAGGTATCAGCATTATTTGAATTAAAAGGTATACTTGTGTCGTCAGCGTGGTTGACAAATTTTTCATTTGGATTAAAATTGGTGATATTAATATATATATATAAAAAGGAAAGGCCCAAGCACGTCATCGAATCAATGAGTCGATGCCGTGCTTGGGCCTACTCGTTCAGCTGGCACCATGGGCGACATTTTACAACGTAAAAGGAGAAAGTGCAAAGGCCCCCGATAATGTGTCTATGGCACCGATTGCACTCAGCGCTAAAGGGGCATTCGCACGAAAGAGAAATCTCGGGGATTTCTTCCCGGCGCCTGCCTCACGCGACGGAAACGTCAGGGTTTGTTCCGATGCGGCGCTGAGACCTCGGCTACGTGGCGGAGGGAGGGACGAAAATTGCTGCTTTGGCCACCGATCAGTTGGTTTTCAATTATATTTCGCCGGTCATCTACTCCGTGTCAAATGTAGAGCTCGCAAAATTCGTCTGCGGTGGCGTCAAGTCTGGCAACCACTCAAACGGACTGCAAACGCTGTCATCCTTTCCCCCCGCACTTTGTCGGATTGAGCGACGAAGCGGAAATCGCCCCTGCTGTCGACGTCACGCACATCCCTATGAGGATTTTTCACTCGTGTAAATACTCCTTTAGCGTACAGGGATGCTATGTACAGTGTACTCAACTCTTAAATATAACGCGGGTGCGGTGGCCGGAGAGACTGCATGCGTCATCTACCGGCTCACTCTGGCAGCTTATGCCGCTGCTATTTTCCAGAGTTACACTCCCAGCTCCGAAACACTCACCGATGCGTGACTCGGCAATAAAAACAATTAAAAAAATGACGCTCTTCAATTTTGTCGTTTAAAGAAGGTGGCCTTTATGAGAAAAAACTGCAAGAGCACCGAGATGGGGTAGCCCCGCATGGTGAATGCGTAGGTGTGACTAAACAGAGTAGCAAAAACAGCGAACCAAACAAGTAAAAATTTAAAGCGTGGGTGATTAAGAAAGCCTCGAGGGAGGTCAAGCGACAATTCTATTGGGGAGTGGCTACAATCGTGAGAAGAGCCTCCTTATTCTCTGCCGCCTTTAATCGCGAGACAGCTCGGATATCAGTTTCGGCCACCGCTCCCACATTATATTTAACAGTTGAGCACACTGTACGTGCTTGGCGGATTCATCGACCGTCGGCCTTGCCCAAAGTGTCTCTGCTCACGCTCATAAGCAGAGAGCGGGCAAATAAAAGGCAGCTGCTTGATTTGTCTGGCGAACACGTGGCATCTGTAGTCCGGTCACCTCAACAGTAAACCAACTATAAGGTATTCCGAGAGTGAAGCGAGTTTCTGGTCATACGTGGAATACTAGGAGAGCGCCAATGTCTGCTGTCAGCCGGCAAACTTCATTACCGAACCTATAAGGGTTAGTCGTGCTAAGGCAAAGCGGTTCAGGTGAAACCACGAAAACAAAACTTATACAAAATATGTTTCAAATATAAGAAAAAAAAAACAAAGAACAAACCAAGCACTTTGCTGCGATCAGAAAAAAGAAAACCCCAATGAATACAACTTGAGTTTCTATATTCTTAAAATGACATAATCCGATTGCCAAATTCCCCGGAAAAATATCTCTAATATATTAAACATGGGTAGAAAAAGTCATATTTTCGCCCACAATTTGCGAAAAAGAGAAAGCGATAACCGTGGTCGCGCAGTGCTGGTGGAATGGTGCCGTCAAGAAGGTGCGACCAGTCCTCGGTCAACCGTGAAGCGGATAAGCGCGGGGGAAGTGTTCGAAAACCATCCAACATTGCGCGTGGCAACTGGATACTGCCAAAGGGGGATTTCGCGTAACGTCATTAATCTTTGAACTCTTTCAAGCAGACGGCACAGCAGACGCACAGGAGAGGACTGAACAACGCCATTTTGTCCGATCGGAATGTGCTTTGCCATTTGAATTGGTTGTCGTCACTCGTAAAAAAGAAGTAGGAAGGGACTTTAGGTGGTTGTAGCGCCGATTGTAGAGGCCTTTCGTGCAAAACGAAAGTGTCAAGCGTGGCTGAAACCACGCAGTCGGTGGGCTGAGCGATTCCTTTTCGGGGGTCCGAAAAGTTTGCGCGAGAGAAGTGGCTTTTATTTGGTTTCACCGAGCACTACTATACTTATTTTCAGCTTACATCCGTTAAATTTAAATACTCATAAATAGGCTAAACATCGAGTTATCTAGAGCCGTAGAATATATATACAGTAAAACCTCGTTATAACAAAGTTGAAGCCGTAATTATTTCGTTATAGCCATTAGTTTGTTATAGCCCACTGTACACTTCTTCCCACTTTTAGCAAACGAGGAGAATTATGATTGCTTCGTTATATCCATTAGTTTGTTATATCCCATTTTGTTATAACGAGGTTTTACTGTGCAAGATACAAAATCGTAAACCCCTTCGGCTAGAAAAGAAAAATGTATTGCTTACTATTTTTCTCAAAACTTTATTACTGTACTTTAGTTTGGCGAACGACATCGACCACAAATTATAATAGACTGGCCATCCTACAGAAAAACGTTTTACGACTTTTTGAAAACCACAAGGGTAATGCCCAATATCTCCCCACCGGACCCTTGTTTAATAAACATGGCCTACTCAAAGTCGATCAAATCTATTATTTTAAGCTATTACAAAAAATACACAACAAAAACCTTTTCGTGTTTTCGACAGATGACAGTAAACACTACACACTTCGGCACACCCATAGATAGGAATGCCGCGAACGGTTTTCGAACCGAAGGTTCGATGATCGATTCAAGCGGTGCGAAAGGTTCGAAAGATTTCGAATGTTCGAACTTTCCATATCGAGAAATTCGACGGAAGTCAAATTTTCGACCTTGTTAGACTGAGAAGTTCAAAGTTTTTCAAAGTTTCGACCTTATTACGCTGCAAAATTCGATGCTTGTCGAACCTTCGAACTTCATAGACTAAAAGATTCGATGATTTTCGAACTTTCGACCTTCTTGCACTAAAAAGTTCGAAGCTTTTCGAACTTTCGACCTTTCTACGCTAAGAAAATCGATAATTTTGGAACTTTTGAACTTATTAATCTAAAAAATTCGAAAATGGTCGAACTTTCGATTCCTGAAAAGTCAAAAGTCGACGAACTTCGAAAAACGGCGGGCGGTTTCATTCGGGTTCAAGCAGTGAGGTACATTCGTAATTTCTTTTCTCGCATTTTTACATGCGGTGCCGCATTCCTTGCGAAAGACAATGCCGTTTATTTCAATCCTCTGGCATGCTTAGTTTTAAAGAAATAGATTCCCGAAGGAGCGAGGAAAGACGACGGGTTTTTGACAATTGTCGTTTGTGTTATATTTGAAGCGCGCTATACCCGAAGATAATAATGGTAGAGATGCTTAACTTTTTTTAAGAATGATCTATGTATTAGCCCCGAGAGCGAACACAAGCGTCGCTGCGGTCGCCACGCCCTGATTGGGTGAGGTGTACCGTGACGTCAGGGAGATGTCTCCGCTCCGCGATCTCGCATCGGCTCGCCTCCCAGCACCGGTTTCCTGGTTTGGCGTTGTGCGCCGCAAGCTCTTCGAGGAGCTAGACTTCGTTTACCCGGTGTACAAGACGTTGAGTTAGGCCGATATTGACGTGCTTCCGTACATTTTATAAGCCTGCTCGTCCCTTTTACCTTTAAAATTGGGTTACAAATCTCGAAAGCAATCGGCGGAGGCAATTCCGCCGATGAACCTCCCCGTCCGTCCACACGACACAAGGCAATTTCGCGAGGGATCGGTGAAGCGGCGGCGCAAGTGTTTCAGACGCTGGAATTCTGTTCCTTCCATGCTTATGATTTAGGACGATATTACATCCCGCTTTCAAGGCATTTGAAGTGGCATTCATATCCTCGGCCTTTGGGTGGTCGGCAAATTAGCTCGCGACCCCCGACTTTGCGCTGCCACTCTGCATGCGCTGGTTCGCAGATGTTTTAAAGGCCCTGTGTTTGATTATCTTTGAAGTGCTCGTGGAACAGGGTTGTTTTACATAAATGTAGCTTCTTCGTGAATTAATTATATAGTTTATACACGTATTCTGGCATATCTCTTAGAAGATGCACAATTACTGGAAATTAGTTTGTATTGTAGCAGCAAAGACGGCCGAATTGCCCCCAGTTGCCTGTATGATATGTATTGAACTGCCCAAAATATGCACAGCAATAGTGCCGTCATTTGGAATGTTTATACTTTTTCCTGACATTTTTATTCCAGCCTTGGGTATTCGGAAAATACACCGTTAAGTTTGAATTGTCATTTCCAGTTAAAAGAGACACTGCTGCAGGTCTCCAAAAGCTTCCTCAGCCTCCAAACTCCCTATACACAGCTGGACTCTCTGACAACAGAGAAAAACAGGAATAAAAGCAAGCATTCGAACGTCTGTCCAGTGGTAGATGCAGCACTAGTAGCAGAAAATGTGGAACCTGTGAAGGGCGACAGTCTGCGTGAGAAAAGCTTCTGATACTTTAGCTTCAGGACAATTCGATTTAAATAAAATGTCAATTTTAGTGCTTAAAGAACTAATAACGAGCTAGACAGCTTCGCTTACGTTTGTTATACATTACTTCATGGTTGATATAAACAGGTCCACAGATACCACCCGTGTAGTCCATTCAAATACTATCCAAATCTAGCAAAGGTCAAATGCGAGCAATGTATATATTAATTGTTCCTTGTTTTTTTTTCACTTTGTCCCTGTACTTGTGCTGTCTTACTCGTGATTCTCTCCCCATGGCCCAGACTGTATTTAGCATTTTGCTCGAGCAGCATGCAGCTTTTCTGCTTAGGCGATCTTGTTTAAAAACGGAGATACAAAAAAAAATAGTATGCACAACCTGCCAATTCATTCAGACCATCAGCAGCATTTATTGTGTGAGATGTAAATCTATAATGCTGCTCCTGCAATTGTGGCCATATTTCTTTATTTTCATATACCAGCTCCGATTCATGCGTTACCTGCCCTGTCAACCATGCTTAAAATGTTGGTTGAAGTTTCGCCTGTAGCTACAGGCCATACCTCAATAAAGGCACATACAAACATTTACACTTCCTACGAAAAACACTCCAGAAAAAAAAAATATATAGAAACGAGCGTGCCGACAGCTAGCGTCGTCACAGCCTCCGCAGGGCGAGTCGGGGAAATATTCTCTCCTTCCCGTGACGTCACCCCGGTTCGCCGTAAGGGGGCGCCACGCGAACTTCTCGAGGCTAATAGCCTATAGGTAAGTGTAGTCTTAGGACATGATTATTGTTGTTCAAGCCGAGTTTCGAAGAAGTATTCAAACATGTATCCACGGGCAATTATGCCCTAAACTTGGTCATTTTTTTCGTCGAAATTGTTTGAGGTATCGCATTTAAATTAACACCACTGACAGTACATATCATTACCATCTGCAGAACACAAATTAATGTATATATTGTTGTTTTCACGTTGAGGAATAAATTAACTCATGGATAAAGATTTCTAATATCGTTCAATTTCGGCACGCAAAAAAAAAAATATATTTTTTAACTATACGTTTTTGGGACGTGTTTCTTTTAGCCTGTACACATTTTGATAGGAGAAACTTGTTTCGTAATTCTAAACCCCTGAATATGAAAGAATACAACACTTCCGGCGGATTCTTGATAGTTTTTTTTTTCTCTCCAGCGTTTTAGTTTTTGTATTTATCGTTATGTTGTTTTATTTATTATTTTTTATCAATGACACAGTTATTTAGGTCAAAAAGACGTAGCTTTGAACTTCCGAACCACCGAGCATATGACGAGTAGGGCCTTCTGACAACAAGTTTCTAACAATGACCATCTACGCGATCTTTTATGCAGTGAAGAGCGACAGTAGCTATACATATGCATAAATAATTTCAGATTAAAACAAGCTCGACCATTCCCTCCAGTCCAAAATATCTGGGGGGGGGGGGGGGGGGGGGGGGGCGGAGACTGAAGCCCATCACATGTTTGTGATGGTAACAATATTCAACATATCACTGTACCTACTGTTTACACCGAGTCCATGCACTTAGCCCCCTTCAAACTGAAAAGTCTCTGGACTCCTTTTATCTTAACGTTTGGTGTACTGGCAGCTGTTGTTTGAACGAGCAGACGACAGTTTGAACGATCCCAAGGCGGTTTCAATGTTAAGGCGCGCTGAATGTTGACCGCGGGTAATCCAGAGATCTTGACGGTTTTCCCGCGTTCGTGGTAAAGCAAAGCAAACAAATAATTTGACCACCAGAACTAAATTGAAGCCGAAGTTCTTCCCGCACAAACAATCGTAGCCCGACGGCGTCTGGTATTCACGGCACTATCCACGTTCTCGGACGAGCCGAGCAAGCAGAAAACACATACCTTTCCCAGCTCTTTTGGTACAACACCGATCGCGCCGTTTTGACGAAAGGTCCTCTATCGGTTCCTTCCAAAAGAACGCAGGAATTCCCGTCCCGCATGGTGACTTCCATCCCCACTCCCAGACCGGCGGTGCTCCGAAGCACTACCACCGCGGCGCGACATAAAGTTGAGTTGGTGTATAGTCTTGATCATAACTCAGCTTTCTTTCATTAGATAGCACCGGAAGTCTTTGGAGCTACGCGCCTGCCCGGTTTCTTTTTATATCGTCAGCTACTGTACATGCTCATAGTACGACCAAAACGGACCCAGATATTTGGCGCAGCAGTCACCAGATGGCACGCACTTTTGAAAAAAGGTGTATTCCTGGTGCCTGGTAACAGGATCTTACCAAGGTGTCGATGATTGAGGATATTGGGAGGAAGTGCCTCGAAGTGTCGATGAGGAGTCCCCGGTGCGAGAATCTCGGCGCGTCGTTGATCCCTGTCTGGTTCACTGCAAACTGGTGCACGGTGCACATTCAGAGCGGGACAAGCGGACGATGTGCCCTTAGCGTCTTATTTCTTCCGTATATAATCGTCAATTACTGCGCATAAATTGCTGTGCTACAAACGCTTTTACGTTTTCATCACCACTACTCGTTTGATGCTAGACGTTAGTCGTGAATATGGTCAGCTGGACAATTGCAAATTACAACAACCGTGAAGTAATGCACATGAAGTAATTGAAGCCCTGGCCATCGAAGGCAGTGCTCAACTGTGCGAGAGCACCCCGTCTATCACAATCCACCAGAAAGAAAAACAATACTTGGGACGTGGCACGAGCCGCATAACACCCTAATGGGTGCATCGCGTGGACATGGGGGATGGCTTTTATCACTAGCTGTAGCAAAGAGGAAAAAAGGAAGACAGAGTATTAAAGGCAGCAAGTTGATAGTCAGCGGTGTGTATGTGTTTCCTCTCACGGTTGTTTTAATTTGTAATTGTTCAGCTGACCATATTCAAGTATGTACCAACTAGCTCAAGTAACACCTGTAGGAAAGTTAGCCCTGACGCAAAAAACTCCGCAAAAAAACAAACAAAAAAACAACAACAAGAGTTTGAACCGGGAGTAAAAATTCCTCAAACCTTGCATTAAAAAAAAAAAAAAATTTACGTTCGTCTTTTTGTTTGTATTATAAATTATGTGTTTAACATATACAACAACATTATTCGGTTGTTTCATTTCTTTTTCTTATTTTTTACTCTGAAATTTAAATGTACTAATAAGTGTGTTCATAGCAATAAAGGGACACTGAATGTTTATTTTTGCTCCCCAAGGTTATTATTTGTACATGCAATATGAGAGCCCTGTTGCGTTAATTGAACGTCAAAGACTTACGGTAAGAAACAAAATGGATTTACTATTTACATGGCCAAGTTAATCTGCTGGTGTCGGTCATCGCAGTCGTTCCGTACATCTTCTTCTTCGATCTGCCACGAGCCCCAACCCTTCTTTGTCTTCCTCGTTTTCGTCAACCGCCTATTTACACGAGCACTGTACGACTGTTTCCCGTGAGTAGGAGGTGTCCAATTTACAATTTACAACACACTGCCCCCAAATGAGAGTTATTAGATCGCTCATTCAATATAAAGCTCTAGGGGATATAAAAGTTGAACGGGTCTTTTCAACACTTGTCCGCCTGGCAAGTTCACAGCGCAGGATCGCACTATACCATCCCAGCCGTAGAATGCCTGCCCAATTCGCCCAGCCAGTCCACCATAGGCGTTTTCTTCTCCTCAACTAGAACCAGGTCTCCTTCTTGAACTTGGCTCTCTCGGTGACAAGTTGTTTCGTGTGCTGATTGCAGCTGGAGCAAGTATTCTTTTTGCCACCGCTGCCAAAAGTGGTCTAGTAGTTGTTGATGATTTCTCCAATGCCGGGTGACATTTTCCCTCGTAGAGGTTTGGAGTTTCTCAGCACCCGCAGTTGGAAAAGCTGTCAGTCGCTTTCCGGTCAGAAAAAGCGCCGGGGTCAACGTTTCGGGCTCGTCGGGAGAGGCATGCAGGAATGAGAGGGGCCGTGAGTTAACGACTGCCTAAATCTCATGGAGTATAGTGGTAAGCTCTTCAAAAGTGCAGCACTTTCTTCCAAGAACTTTCCGAGGGCTTGTTTTGACAGTGCGTACTATCCGCTCCCAACCCCCCCCCCCCCCCCCCCCCCCCCCCCCCCACCGGCAGCTCGGTCAACAATAAATTTCCACTGTATTTGTTGTTCGGTGTAGTGTTCTTGCACTCTTTTGCCTTTTAGCACGTTCCATAAGTCGCGGACGTCCTTTGAGGCTCTTTTGAAAGTAAAGGCGTTGTCGCTGTATACCAACCTGGGTGTCCCTCTCCTTGCTGTAAATCTCTGGAAGGCCATGAGAAATGTTGGAGTTGCGAGGCTTGTAACTAGTTCCAGGTGGACAGCACCAGTAACTGCACAAGTAAATAGTGCTATATATGCTTTTTTCTCGGAGTGTCCGGATCGGACTAACAAAGGTCCGGCAAAGTCCACTCCTACTACTTCAAATGGGCTCGCCTCATTTACGCGGTCTTTTGGAAATGGTGCAGTCGGTGCTGATGCTCTTTTCACTCTTGACCTTGCGCAGGCGTTGCATCGGGTTATAACCTTCTTGACAGTCTGTCGTGCCCTTGGCACCCAATAAAGTTCACGTAACTGTGTAACAGTGTCTTGAAGTCCTCCATGGAGTGTACGCCTATGCATGTCGTTAATCAGCAGTTCAGTGAAAGGATGTTCAGGTGGCAGTAGTAATGGGTGCTTGATCTCCACTGCTTCGTTCATATTTTGTAGCCGTCCGCCAACTCTCACGATCCGGTGTGCGTCGAGGTAGGCGTTTAGAGCGATGATGCTGGATTTCTCGGTCAATCTCCCTCCCTCCAGCAGTTCGTTGAGCTCTCTGGGGTAAGCCTCCTCTTGCGTTTGCCTGACCCAACGCAGTTCTGCCCTTTCAATCTCTTCAGTTATTAGAGGACCTTTGGTGCGATTTTGAGGCGTTCTACAGTTATTAACGAACCTCATCATCCAATCAGTGACTCGTAGTAGTCGTCCTATTCTACTGTATCGTTCCAGCTTCAAAAGAGGTGTCGTTACATTGGTTTGTATCTTAAGCACTTTGATGTTTACTCACTCGTTCCTCTTCTTCTACTTCCGTCGGGTTATTTTCGCTTGTAATGACACCTGGCCAGGTGTCTCTGTCTTCAGAGAGCCACCTAGGGCCGTTCCACCAGAGTTGACTCGTTCGTAATTTATCTATTGATATTCCTCGTGTCATCAAGTCCGCAGGGTTGTCAAGTCCAGGGCAGTGGTTCCAACTGGCCGGTTCCCCTCCAGATTGAATTTCGGTAACCCTATTAGACACGAACGTTTTCCATTTTACTGCTGAACCCTTGATCCAGTGAAGAGCAATAGTGATGTCTGTTCAGAAGAATATCTCCTGGAGGTCCATCATCTTTTTCAGGTAGTTGCCTATTCGGTTCCCAATCACTGCCGCCATAAGCTCCAGGCGCGGAAGTGTCAAACGTTCTATCGGCGCTGCCCTAGTCTTAGAGAATACCAGACTGACATCTGTCTTGCCATTCATTTCTTTCACCCTCAGGTAGGCACACGTTCCATAAGCGAGGGGACTGGCATCGCGGAAGACATGCAGTTGTAGAGACGTCTTGTGCTCTTCTTGTGTGCTTATGACACACCGGTTGGTGGCAGTATCTTCTATCTGTGAAACCTCTTTGCACCATTGTTGCCAGTCTTCTGAGAGGTCTTCAGGAAGCTCTTCGTCTCAGTTAAGTCCGCGTTACCACAATCGCTGAAACAAGACCTTCACTCTTATTACAAACGGGGAAATAAGTCCAAGTGGGTCGAAGACCCTCGCTGCAGCACGTAGTACACAACGCTTTGTTGTGCTGTTGCCGTTGATGAAGTTGAGTACATTCTTAACTGGAATCAACAAAGTGTCGTTATCCCGTCTCCATCGCAGTCCAAGAATTCCTCTGGGTTCTGAAAACGTTGACGTGTTATGACCCTCGTCAAGCATATCCTGAAGATGCCTTGCGTTGGTTGCTCATTTTCGCAGTGTCATGCCTGCAGATTTCAGAATCTCATTGGCTTGCTTATGTAGATCCGCAGCCCCTTCTATTGTTTTCGTTCCGAAGAGCAAGTCATCCACATAGAATGACTTTTGAAGAAGTCTTGCAGTATGCTTCATAGCTCCTGTCACATTTTGTAATGATGTTTCAGAATAGCCGATAGAAGGAATGGGCTTGCCGATGTTCCAAATGGCACGCGTGTCATCCTCTATTCTTCAGTTGGTAGCTCTTTGTTTGACGTTTCAGACTTAGTGTCAAACCACAGAAAACGGAGTGCGTCACGATCCTCGGGTCTCACGCTCACGCTATGTCTGCTGTGAGAGCAATAGGATACGCTGGGAAGCGTATTAGAACCTCGACTAGATCCGCGCTCATGTTGAGCCCCTTCTCTTGATGATTGTTCAGTGAAGCGGCTTCATTTGCATGAGACGACGCGTCGAACACGACTCGCAGTTTTGTAGTTTCAGAGTTCATTCGGATCACTGCTTGGTGAGACATGTAGTAGATGCGTGAGTTTGTGCATGGTAACTCTGAGGGAACCCTCTCCGCATGTCCATCATTAAGGTAGTTGAGCATAGTGTTGCTATATTCTTTGGAAAGACACTCGTTGCGTGATAGCCTCTTCTGCAATCCCTCGAGTCGTTTCATAGCTGTGGATCGGTTATCGTTTAGCTCCCCTGCGTTAGGTTTCCATGGCAAGCACACCTCGTACCGTTCATCCACTTTTGCAATAGTTCGTTTGAACTATTGCAATAGTGCGTTGTCTGTTATTCCTATGCTTTCAATGTCCCAAAAGCTGCGTAAGGTCGCATCGTCTACGGCTTCGATGGTTCCGATCTTTAGTATACAGACCATCGTGTTGGTGCGGCCAGTAAACGAGCACTGCAGCGTTACGGGTCTTTGAAATGTCCACCCAAATTTAGCGTCTAAAGCCATCAGCCTGCAGTTGCGTTAACAACGTTGCGCCCGCTCACTGGCGACTTTACAGATTTGGTCCGACTCAATGAGCAGGCTTATGCCTGGTTCAGTGGGAACGCCGGGGAAGAGAAGTTTGTCAGCGATGCAGCCTCCATCTTCTTCAATGCTGCGGACAAACTCATGGTTTACAGGTATCTGAACAATGTCCTCGCATATAAATGGGATTTCTACCGCTTCAACGCTGCATTCTTCGTTGTTGTACTGACTACGCAGGTTCACTTGAACCAGTCTTCGTTTTTTCGGCAGTGAAGTAGAACTTCCTAAGGTGTTCAAGCGTAGTCTGGTCTCTCCTAGCACCTTAAGATCCAACTTGCGAGAAACGTCTTCTCGAATAAACGTTCGCTGACTTCCACCGTCTAAGATGGCACGTGCGTAGACAGTATTCCCATCCTCGACCACCCAGGTTCGAAAGGTCTGAAGTAGGACATCGTCGTCTATCGAAATCCCAGTACTACCAGTGCCAGCGCTTTGAACGCTAGTCGTCATGGTTAGTGTTGCACTAGTGTTCGCTGAAGGCTTCCAGGTCGGATCTCACATTGATGTTGCGTGTCGCCCCGCACAGGAAGTGCAAGACAATTTCCTGTGACAGTCCTTTGACCTATGCCCTCTTAGGGTGCACCGGAAACATCGCATCCCTCCTGAGAGTTTCTCCTTCTTCTCCGTTAGGGAGATGCTATTGGAGAAGTTTTCCGTGCTGTGTCCTGTAGTTTTGCAAAAATATGCACTCCTTCTTGTTATCTTGAGATTTGGCATGGAGAACCGCAGAAGTCGGAAGGTGAGCTCGTTGATGTAGTTGCTCTCGATTTTTTCTTGGTGGACGATCATCTCTGACACCAGATCTCTCTCTACTCTCGATCTCAATTAGCAGATATTCGAGCAACTGCTGCAAATCTCCCTCCGCCCTTCTGCTGTTCAGTTGAACATCCTCAGTTCGAGGTGTTGGTCTGGCGGACAGCTCAGCAGTTCTGGAAGTACCTGAGATTGACCCCAGTTCTTCTGCTTGTAATGTGAATGGAGATGAATGTGCAGCCACGTCTCCCTGGTCCGGATGGACGGTCTTCCTTTCAGAATGGCCAGCACGTCGGTATAAATTCACCACTATTTCAGAAGGAAGAGCCTTGATGACAATGTCCATCAGCATTGTCCAGTAGCTGTCTGAGCTGAAACCAAGTCCATGAAGACCGCGGATGTGGGTTTGCACCTGATCGCAAAGTCTCCTCAAACCCTTGGTGTCGTTTGAGTAGGTGACACTTGGAAGCGTTCGAAGCTTTGTAAGGTGGTCTTGCTGGATTCGCCTGTAGTCTCCAAACTGTCTAGTTAAAATTTGAATTGCGTCGTTGTAGCACTCATCCGTCACTTGGAGACCATCGATAGATGCCCTGGCGGGTCCACTAACCTGCGTTCTTAAGTATTGAAACTTCTCGCCGCTTGATAGTTCTCCGTTTTCGTGATCGGCACACTTAAATTGTTGCCAAAATGGCTGCCACTCAGCAAGCTCGCCCTTAAAGGATTGCAGCTGCAACTTCAGTAGTTTAATACCGCTCCGTCCTCGTTCTTCGCTTCGGGAGGAAATTCACGATGTTGATGGCCGCGCTGGTTCACCAGAACGTAGTTTCACTGCTTGACTTTGAAGCATGCTCAACGTGTGGGTTGTTTCTTCCTCGTACTCAATTACCGACTGGTATTCGTTCTCGAGATCTCCATCAGCAATGAAGGGCTCGAGCTCGGTGTTCAGCTTCTTGAGTTCTTCATAATTTACCTCAAGCTTTCTTGCTATGGCCTCGATTTGAATTACATCCGCAGTGTTGAGAATAGCGGTGGCCTCTCTGACAATTCGGGTGTTTTGTGCTCTGCGAGCAATCCTTTTCGTTCGCACCCTTTCTATGTTTGAATCAATCGAGATATCGGTAAGCTTCGGGTAATAGATTCGCTTACTTGCTACGATGTCGATCCAAATTTCGTTCGAGGCTAGTTCATGGCGTTCACTCGTTCGCTGCTCAGCAACTGACTTCGTTTCGTTGAGGGTCGTTCCTGGCTTGAAGTCCCGGGTTTCGGCACCATTCAGTTGTTGTGTTAATTGAACGTCAAAGACTTACGGTAAGAAACAAAATGGATTTAATATTTACATGGCGAAGTTAATCTGCTGGTGTCGGTCATCGCAGTCGTTCCGTACATCTTCTTCGATCTGCCTTGAGCCCTAACCCTTCTTTGTCTTCCTCGTTTTCGTCAACCGCCTATTTACACGAGCACTGTACCGCTGTTTCCCGTGAGTAGGAGGTGTCCAATTTACAATTTACAACAAGCCCAACTATCAAGAACGCAATCTGCGGCTCCAAATTTGTTTTAATTCCGTCCGGAAACCGCCGATCGAGAACTGGCCGGTTGGAGTTGCGCTCACTCTCTCCTGCCGTTTTCTATGGTTTAGACATAACCACCAGAGATAATCAAAGTCGTGGGTCATCGAAGGCACACACTCAAGATTAAAAATAGACACAAAATATGATATATATGCTTTGTGGCTCCTAAAAAATTGCAAAAACGTCGATCGGAAAAAAAGAAAATGTTGCACGGCTACATGATTTTTGGCACCTCTCACCTCCTCTATATTCATTCTTCCTCCCCAGTCCAGTTTCAGTTTCTTTCGTTTCGAGCAGTTGTGCTTTTTGACTTTATTGAAACTATATGTCACGCTGCATCAAAATAGTGATTGGGTATTCTTCTGAAGCCATAATAAATTGCCAATAAAAAAATTAAAAAAAAAAATGAAAGGCGTTTACCTGTAACGCCGGTTAGAGCGCAGCTCTTGAGGAGGAAGATGGAAGCGTACTGAGGGATAGGTGACTCCTTGAGGTCACGTGACCTAAGGGGGCTCGCGTGACGTCAGGGGGGTCACGTGACCTCGGGGGTCGCGTGACTTCAGGGGGGTCACGTGAACTCGGGGGGGGTCACGTGTCCCCAAGGGGGTCACTTGACCTCAGGGGGTCACATGGCCTCAGTGGGGTCACGTGGCCTCACTGAGGCCATGTGACCCCACTGAATGTGGGGTCACATGGTCGTCCGCCAACTCTCACGTGACCTAAGGGGGTCACGTGACCTTAGGGGGTCACGTGACGTCAGGGGGGTCACGTGACCTCGGGGGTCACGTGACTTCAGGGGGGTCACGTGAACTCGGGGGGGTCACGTGTCCCCAAGGGGGTCACTTGACCTCAGGGGGGTCACATGGCCTCAGTGGGGTCACGTGGCCTCAGGGGTCACGTGGCCTCAAGGAGTAACGTGATCTGATGCGGGTCACGTGACCTGAGGGGGGACACGTGACCTGAGGGGGTCATGTGACCTGAGAAGGGTCACGTGACCTGAGGGGGGTCATGTAACCTCAAGGTGGTCACGTGACTTCAGGGGGTCAGGTGACCTCAGGGGGGGACGTGGCCTGAGGGGGTCACGTGACCTCCCTCAGGTCACGTGACCCCCCTCAGGTCACGTGTCCCCCCTCAGGTCACGTGTCCCCCCTCAGGTCACGTGACCCGCCTCAGATCACGTTACCCCCTGAGGCCACGTGACCCCCTGAGGCCACGTGACCTGAAGGGGTCACGTGACCTAAGGGGGTCACGTGACCTTAGAGGGTCACGTGACCTTGGGGGGTCACGTGACCTTGGGGGGTCACGTGACCTGGGAGTCACGCGACCTCGCCGTTACGCCGACGGCGACGGCGACGCCGACGCCGCTCAAGGCGGAAACGGGCCCCTAAGAGCTGCGCTCTAAAAACATTTGGGGGTGGTGTTAGATGTCTCTTTAATACGCGGACTCTACCAAGCTACAGGGTAGTTTCACGGTATTTCCGTCCCAAGCTTTAGGCAAAATCTAAAATGGGAGGCTTAATTCAGTTAGCTTATACGCGTGAAGACTCTGTTTCTACCTCGCTCGACTTAGCTTGAGTAATGGTGAAACGCGCCTGCCAAACTAGTCAGCGACATACGGGAGTATCAGTCGATACTCAAACTTTGTGCCTATCAGCCTTCATTCTAAGTTAAGATGCGCCGGCGCTCGTGAAGTATGCTGGTCTTTAGCTGGAATGGCCACAGCAGATGCCACCAGAACAACTCCGAGGAACAAAAAAAAAAAAAGACGGAGTAAATGTGAGTTTGTGCGATCCAAGTATGTTCTCGAGCATTTTTCTTCAATAGACCCTTTCCGAAATTCAGTGCCATCTGGTGGCTGAAATGGCGGTTTAACTTTTGCCATACGAATGGCGGCAATGAACCCGTAGCCTGCAGTATTTTATCGGGCACCGTCACTTTTGCATGTTAACGGCAGACGAGAGTAAACTTTTCGCTATACAGGTATTTCTGGATCATCTCTTCCAGTGTCGCTTCCCACAACGATGCAACCAGTCAGAACGAAGCGCCAACCCACACAGACGCCTTGATAGTTCTATAAGTCAAGGGGTTTCGAAGTCGATTTTGTGCCACTAACAGGTTCACTGGGCTCGAATTAGAAAAATTAACACTTACGCAGCGCTTGCATTCAATTCCGGTTTCGCAACGTGCTAACGTCTAGAATGTATAGGCCTCGAATCCTCAGCTTAGGAGTATCTTCAACATGTTCCTTCATCAGTAAATAGAAAGCCGCCATTCGTATGGCACACATGCCATTTTTCAGATGGTGATGATAGTGATCAAAGTGGCCAGACTGAATTTCGGAAAGGGTCTATTGTGTACGCTTCGCAGAGCCACCAGCCGCGTTTCAATGTGTAAAGAGCACGAAGCGTGACGCTAATAAAAAAAGACTCGGTCGCATCAAAATGAACGAGTGAAATGGCAAAGGCCTTCCTCCACACGCCCGTTCGCTGCTTACAACAACTGAAATTGCGTTTCATGAAATGCCCCATTACGTTAGACAAGCATTGGCGCTCTCACGTGTGTTTCGTTGAAAGGGTACACGAGCTGGCTGAACGTCTCCAGACCCCTCATTATTCCCCAGACCGATTTTGACCGGAGGGCCGCTGGTGAGTCCAAGCTCAGGGTCAAGTCATCTGCGGACAAAATAAATAAATAACTGTGTCACACATCGGGAATACAATGCGCTCCGCAGCTTTGCACCAGTTCTTTGCGTCAGTGGCTTCTAGTGAAACTCACAACTCTCAGTCATGTCCATGTGGGGCAGGGTCTCGCAGGGTCCGACCAATAAGACGTCGAGCTCGTGCAGTGCGGCCACGGTTGGTGAGGGATTCATTTTTGTGGTTCTCAAAGGGACACCAGGACCCTTCTGAGAAACACAGCCTGAGAAGAGCGACTGCCTGTGTCGGCGCATGGCCTCCGTCGCCAGGTCACACTGGCCGTCGGAAGTCTTGAGAATGAACTCAAAGTCGGTGGGGTCGATGATCAGGACCGAAGGACTGGTCCTAATGGCTTTTGGCTGGGGCCATACTTGACCTTGCGTTGGAATGACCTGCGCAAAACAAGTGGTATTGAAACAAGACACGCAGCAGTTACTCATGGGTAAGAATGAGACTGTTAGACTCGGAAAAATATTTACATACCATAAAAGACAGGGCCAATTTTTTTGTATATTACCGAAAATATATTTTATCCGATTCAGTGAGCAAAGGGGTAGAAAGAGAACGCCACGTTCAGTCTTGGTTCGTGCAGTCGGCAGGAACGGTTGCTCTGCAGTATTAATAAAATACAATAAAACGAAGTGCTTTAGATCTACGTAATAACTTATATGACTCGCTGCACTCAAACGCATATATCTTCCGTGTTTCAATAACCCCCTACAACATGAAAGGAGCGCAAGCGTGAAACAATGAAAAGTGATGTAGCAAAGTAGACTGAAAATGCGGTATTGGATGAGGGCATTAAGTTTTGACTTGGCTTCAACTTTAGGTAGGACGTTATGGTATTTGAAAGAATTTAGTGATATTTGCGAATTGTGTGTTGTTGTTTTATGTTTATAGGCTTTACGAGATGTAGGCACAAAATATGATTTAATATGTCCTGCATTGTGAAGGGGGAACGGTTGAATAATCTCAATTATCAAGGTGCTGTTTCTGACTTCAGCAGATATTTAAAGGCATGCGAGCACATAGTTATACATTAAAATTTCCCTCCCCAACTGGACATGACCAGGACGCTAATATCGCTCGACTCGCCTATATAATGTGATTTTCTGGTAAATTCGAGAACCGTCTTGTTGATTCGAGGTTAGAATGTTCTACGCGCCGAACCTTCTACGCCGAATGCTCCAGAAGCCCACGCGTGTACAAAAGCAGCTCCGCGTGCCGAGCCGGAGTCAGTCTCGCCTTAGCGTTCGATTCTGCTGTTTCGCCGCCTGCGACGCTATCCTTTTTCTGTTCTGTTATTTGGGCACAAGTTCGCCTCATTTAGTTTCTTTAGTTATTCTTCTCCTCATCATTTGTCATTCGTGACATTTTGGTGGAGGTGCGGGGTACCGCATTCCCATGCAGCGTTCCCCTCCAAGAACCCGTAGTGCCAGTCCGATTCCAAGCCCGGTAAGAAGACCACTCTACGCGGAACCTGAAACTCAGACCAGCCGTCACACCAAGGGAGAGGATCCTGAATACGGTTTGCTGCTGGACAAGCCCAAGCCGAAGAAGACGACGACGGCCAACCAGGCGCGGACCCCAGCCGCTTCTGCCGTCGTATTCCTGCCCGTCGCACCCAAAACTCCGACGCCTTTCCACGGAGACGCCCACGAGGACATCGAGGACCGGCTGCAACATTATGAACGTGTGGCCCGCCATAGCGGTTGGTCAGCTGAGCACTGCCTGCAGAACGTTTACTTTTTGCTGGAAGGAACTGCGAGGCACTGGCTGGAAAACTCCGAGGCTTCTTTGACGAACAAAAAGTAAGGGCGCAAACGAGCTGGTGTACTTTGCACATGGTAGAAAAAACCTCGAGACTGCGGGTAAACGACACAAACCTAAAAAGTCTCTAAAACTATAGAGACTTATAGAGACTTTTTAGTGTTGTGTCGTTTACCCGCAGTCTCGGTTTTTTTTCAGCCATGTGCTTCTTTGACGTCGTGGGAGCTGTGCAAACAAGAACTGAAGAAGACGTTTGCCTGCCAACACCGACGTGAGAGGGCCGAAGGTCTCCTGCGAACAAGAACCCAAGGCCTAAATGAGAGCATCACCAGCTTCGTCGAGGATGTTCTCCGCCTGAGCGTCCGCGCCGATCCTCAGGCTACCGAGGAGAAGAAGCTGCACCACTTGATGAGGGGTGTCAAAAGCGAGATATTCAACGGTCTCATCCGCAATCCCCCGACAACAGTCGACGAGTTCGTCACGGAGGCGACAAATATGGAACGGGCCCTGCTAGCACGCGCCAGACACTACCAACGACACCGTGGCGTGACTACTCAGGCGACATCTGGATCCGACCTGGGCACCACCCTCCCCGGCATCCGTGACATTATCCGTGAAGTCGTCCAGGAGGAATTGAAAAAGCAGCTGCCCGCTGCCGCACGCCCGGCCTCGCTCTCCATCGCCGAGGTCGTGCGGGAAGAAGTTCAGAGAGCCATCCAACCAGAGGCTCCCGTCGTCGTGGCAGCCACCGAGGAGCCCGCGTTGACTTATGCCGCAGTGGCCCGACGGCCACCGCCTCCTCCTCGCACCTATGTCGCACCGCCCCGACGTCAGTCTCCTGCGCCGCAGCACGACAGACGCCACGACGACCCGGTGCAGTACGCCCGCCCGGAGCCTCGCGCACCCCGGATAACCGACGTGTGGCGAACGCCCGACCGACGCCCTCTGTGCTTCCATCGCGGGGAAGCAGACCACATTTACCGCCGATGCCCATACCGACGACTTGGGCTGCGCGGGTTCCACCCGAACGACCCGAGCCCCCGTTATGGTGAACGACCTAGGGAGGTCAACGAGTACCTGCGACGACCTCAGTCCCCCGAGCCTGCGTCCCGCCGAGAGTTCCGATCGCCGTCGCCACGACGTCCAGCTTCGCCGATGCACCTACCCCGACGTGAAAGCCTGTCCCCCCTCGCTCCTCGCCGGGGAAACTAGGCGCGGCAGCCCCTGGAGGTGTAGTTACCGAAGACGACCGACGCCAAGATCCTCCACGAATATCGGAGGGCCCCCACTCGAACGCTACCAGAGATTGAAACGACGCCCCTGCAACGGTGTCCAATAACCTAAACGCCGTCATCGACGGCCACGACGCATCAGCGCTCGTGGACACCGGAGCAGACTACTCAGTCTTGAGTGGGAGGCTCTCCCGCCGCATTGAAAAGTCACGACGTCGTGGAATGGACCTCAAATACGAACCGCCGGGAGGGCACCTCATCACACCGGTCGGGAGATTCACTGCTCGCGTCCAGATCCACGGTGAGACGTGCCCTGTCAAGTTCGTCGTTCTGCAAGACTGTTCGAGGGACGATATCCTCGGAATGGACTTTCTCTGCGAGTATGGCGCCGTCATCGACCTCAGAGCAAACCGGCTGACGTTTCGAAAACCTGCTCCACCACAGGAGGACCCCAAAGCGACGTCATCCGCGGTACGAGTCCTCGCAAACCACGTGAACCTACCGCCGCTGTCAAGCGTTCTCGTACCCGTCGGGGTCGATGAGGCTTTCTGCGGCGACGATTTGCTTGAAGGAAGCCTCCATTTGCTTCTAGGAAGAGGGATCGGCATCGCAAAAGGCGTCGCAGAGCCCGAGACGGAAACACTGTCGCACTCGAAACGAACTTCCGACATAAGGCCCAGCACCTTACGAAAGGCACCGGCACAACCCTGCCTACCCCACAACGACGACAACTCAGTGACCTCCTCGTCGAGTTCAATGAGTGATTCTCCACGTCGTCAAAGGTGCGCCAAACGACCGTTGCGAAACACCGAATTGTCACTGAAGGCAACGCGCTTCTTGCCCATCAGTTGCCGTACCGTGTCTCTGTCAAAGAGAGAGAAGTCATTCAGAAGCAGGTCCAAGAAATGCTCGATGACGACATTGTCCAGCCCTCAAGCAGTTAGTGGGCTTCACCGGTAGTCCTGGTGAAAAAGAAAGACGGGACTCTTCGGTTCTGCGTGGACTATCGCCGACTAAACGCCGTAACGAAAAAGGTCGTCTACCCGCTGCTCCACATCGACGACAATCTGGACCGGCTGCGCCATGCCCGATACTTTTCGTCGATGGACCTAAAGAGTGGGTACTGGCAGATCGAGGTCGGGGGGGGGGGGGGGGGGGGGGTTGATTCGAGGCTAGAATGTTCTGCGCGCCGAACCTTCTACGCCGAATGCTCCAGAAGCCCACGCGTGTACAAAAGCTGCTCCGCGTGCCAAGCCGGAGTCAGTCTCGCCTTAGCGTTCAATCCAGCTGTTTCACCGCCATCGACGCCTGCGACGCTATACTTTTTCTGTTGTGTTATTTGGGCACAAGTTCGCCTCATTAAACGTTTAGTTTCTTTAGCAATTCTTCGCCACATTTGTCACTCGTGAAAATACTACTACATTAAGAAATAACTTATTCATAACAAAAGATGGCACAGCCATTAAAACAGCGAAGGATTTCAGATATATTTTCATCTACAACGTTCCAAAAAGCCGGATAAACAATTTGACAAAGAAAAACATCAATTAAATATTAATTTATTGATTTTATATCAGAATTAAATTATTAAAATGGCTTTCTTGAAAAGATAGTTTTTGTACAAGATTTTATTTTTAGAAATTGCAGATTGCTTTTGAATTCCGCGCAAAGGTTAAAAACTCTGGAGAAAAAAACTGAGTGTAGATTGAAATGTGTCATAAAGTATAGCTCAATTAAGGACTTTTCATCGCATCTGTAATTCGCGCATACTATTTTGGTGGCCTCCGCCAGTGCCGAGAGACGGTGAGCGCCCAGCCGGCGACTAGCGGCCCGCAGGCTCCGCGCCAGCCGGGAAGGACAAGGTTGCGGGGGGGGACGGCGAGGACGAAGCGACAGCGACCCGTTCGGGAACCAGCTTCCACTCGGTGGACGGTTCCCGCAATGGAGAAAATAAACAGAAGTGTTTGCTTTTCACCGCAGGGCCGGACGTTTTTCTTTTTTCGGCTCCAAAAATACGAACAGCAACCCACAAATTAGTGACGAGCGACTCTACACTCTAAAACCGGTCTCTCATAAAAAACGCTGTCCCTCTGATTTTAGAGGGGACAACAATGCTTTCAGGGGGAAAGCTCTTTTTAAGAGGGAAATTGAAAAATAAAATAGCAACATCTAGAGGGACACCAACATATTAAGAGAGACCAAGGAAACCCTTTCGTTGGTCCCTCTGAACAGGAAAGACCGACAGAAAGATTCACGCGTCTCCCTTCATATTAAGAGGGGACTGGTCCCTCTTAACTGGACCAATGTAGTTCGGTCAGGAGGAGAGGGGCAGGCGCACTAATCCACGGCAAAGAGTTCGGATGGTGCTGAGGCTTCGCGCCAATTCACGG